TCCGTAACAGGTAGGTAACTTTATTTAAAGCGCTAAAGGTGGATTAATATTAATCTGCTGCTTAAAATAGTCCCCAAATAATTCACAATTTTCTCCAGTTTGTTGAATAAAACTCCTTTTTATGATCGTTGGGGCCGTCGTTGGGAATGTTTAATGATTCTGCAGTTTTTCTACAAAATTGTGACGTTTTAAGGTAGAAGGGAGAAGGGAGAAAATAAAAATTTAAATAAATAGTTGTAAATTTTCTGTATAATTCCTAAAAATCAAAGGTAACTTGTTCCAGTGAGAATAAAAACTGCTGGTAGTTTGCTGACGTCTGAGTCAACGTTGTCCTAATTGGTGAAACTACAGCAATTAGTCAGATTTAATTCAATTAAATGTACGTTAACTGTTAAAAACTACAGCGACTATAAAACTTTATATTAGTGATTAGCTGATTTTCATTAGGATGAGGAGCCACTCACACATTAAAACACAGAATATGTGCAGCTTTAAAGCTTCTGTACGTAGGAGGTTCGATCCGGCTCAGAGTGTCGGACTGGATCTGATAAAGACCGTCAGGACAGCCAGACCAAAGCAGACGTTAGCTCTTGTATGCAGATATCTGAGAAGCACCAGGTCGGGACATGTGTCTCCCTCTGGTCTCCTGTCAGCGCCCAGGGTGGGGGGTCGAGGTGTGTTTGTGTCCATAACAGAGCAGCAAACAGGCCCATTAGAGATGAAAGGGTCTGAATGGAGCCAATCAAAGAGGGGCCCCGCAGGAGGCCGTTACCCCACAGACAGCAGCAGCCTGGGACTGGGGCCGAGGAGGAGGACCAGGAGCACACAGTCCCAGTTACAGTCTGATTTAAAAGGCTCACATGTATGTTTCTGTCAGATTAAAGCAGCTTATTTACACCCAGACGTCAGCACAAAGGAGGAAAACAGATGTAAACAAACAGCTGAAGACCCCTCGGAGCCCCCAAAAAAGGAAAATGCAGCAAATAAACACAAATCAGCAGTTTAAAAAGGAGAAAAACAACAAACAAATATTGTTGTTTGATATTTGTTTTGGGCTGCTCAGATTGAAAAGAAATCTGCAGCTCAAAAGTTAAAAATATACAACAATTTGTCTCCAAGTTAACAGACGTTTGTTTTCCCTGTTTATCGATATGAGAAATAGATGGAAGGTTTTAAGAGGTTTGTTGTTTGAAGAGGAGACGTTGTTGTTGTTGTTGTTGATGATGCTCTGAGGGGCAAAATGGTTTAAAGTGTTCAATTATGTGACTCAGATATATGTGAAGATTACTTTTCAGATTAAAATATTCTGTAAATCATTATAATAATAATAATAACTTTAATACTAAGTTAAAATATTGATTCTCGTTATAAAGACTTATAAAGACAGAATCTTTTTCCCTCTCATATTGGCAGAAATGAGCTTCCATACTGAATACTGATAACTTTACTGTAATTTCTTGTTTGTTGTAAAACTGCTGCTTGTTTTTGTTTATGTGATTTTTTCATGCTGTTTGTTTTTGTTTTTGTTTTTGGATCTGAAACTTTACTTGCTGCTGTCTTGAGCCGAAAAAAAGATGTTGAATCAACTCATACTGCTGAGTTTAACTAACAATACTTTTATACTTAAGTTGAGTCTGAATGCAGAATTTAACATTGTTGATTTGCTACTTTAACTTTAAGTTTAAGAAAATTATTTTTATATTTATCTGTTTATTTGACAGGAACAGAGCAAGTTAATGAACATTAATATAGAAATAAACGATGCAGAAGAACAAGCCGGAGTTAGCAAAAATGCTAATGTGCATCCGTAGTCCCCAGGCAGGAAAACAGAAACAGAAACAAATGCTATTATATACAGACGGTGCGGACTACAGGGGGAACTCAGCTCCTCTGAAAACATGATTTGTGAAATGTTGGGGCGGTCTCTGAAATACTGACAATATCAGATCCTCCAAAAGACATTTTAAAATGTCTGTTTTCTTTCTTTCTAGAAAATTGTGACGCTTGTTGAGATGTTTTGGGGGTTTTTTACAAAGAAATTTCAGGAGAAAGTGAAATAATTCATTTAAAACTGAAGGCAACTTCTTCCAGTGAGACAGGAATCGGTTGAATTTAAGTTGACCGTTGATCCTAGAGGGACAGAAATATGCTATTTTTGGGATTATGTGTAAACTATTGATTCGTGATTTGAGGGAGACTTATCACTTTAGAAAGGATACTGGGATTCTTGTCATCACCACTGAAGCTCAATATCATTAACTTCCGATCAGAAAATAAACCCACAGGACAGCAGAAAAAGTGAAAGCTGTGCTAGAGTTCAGACACTGTTAACAGACAGTAACTGAGTTCTCTGACTTTATGCTTCCTGACAAATAATCTAAATATATAAAACCTGGAGAATGAAACAGAGATCCTGAATGAGACTCTGAGGATCTGCAGATACATTTCCCGTGTGTGTGTGTGTGTGTGTGTGTGTGTGCGAGTGTGAACTCACAGGCGTTTCCTTCACCTCTTCCTAACAGCCTCATTAACCTCTAAATACCGGTTTAACATCAAAGGCCGCGTCGGTGCTCACACCTCAGTCTGCCCTCACATCCAGCTCTCTTTCACACCTGCACACACTTCTTCCTCTACGCCCATTTTCTGCTCTTTAACAACCAAAAAACTACTTTATTTTTCACATTTTACACAGGTGAGCTGCACAGAAGGTAAACAGGATGTATTGTACGCGGTGTATTAAAGCAGTACGTGGTGCAGAGAAGAGAAAGAGTTTTATTTTATGTTCCTGAATCACCATCGACACGTGTCTGTTTCTGACACTGTATGTGTGAACCAAAAGCTTCCGAGGGAGAAGGAGACATGAAGTCCAGCAGCGAGGAGACTGTGAGTCTGTGAGAACAGAGCACAGAGGGGATGTAGTTTGTGTAAATGTAAATGTATTTAACTGCTGATGAAGGTTTTATACTCTTACCATCTGTATGAAAACACAGCTCCTGGAAAAAGTAGTTTTTGTTTGTTAGAAGGAATTCATTTAAAGACTTTAGATACGTTTTATTTTAACCGTTTTAAATCACATCCTCAGTTATATTGTTCAGATATTTAATGGATTCAATTCAATGGATGCTAAAAATAGTTTAAAAAAATAGTTTTTATACTAAAATCCAATCATTGTGGTCTTCCTGTAAAACTAAATGTGACCGCGTGCTTACGTCAAGCGATAGAACTGATTTCAACCCAATAATATCGCTGACATTCACCGTCAAATCCAATCTTCAACTTTTAGACGCACAGAGCGAAGATTCATTAGTTAACTAGCTAACTAACAGCATTTCTGTGAAATATTGGAGAATTTCACCTTTTTTTTGTTTAAAACTTATTTAAATGAAACAGAAATGTTTCTGTGGTGGAACTGAAAACAACTTATTTACCATCATAACAGACATCTGATGAACTACACACAGTTTTTAACAACATGTATATAAATACATCGTCTTTGTTTGTACATTCAGTGCTTATAAGTATAGTTTAAATTAATACTATCTAGAAGTATATATGAAAAGAATGTGTATATTAAAATGTTTTCAAGTAAAAATACAGTTCATTATATTTTTCTGATTATAATATGTGGTGTTTTTAATGTAAATATCTGTTGACATGTTTGTTTTGTTTTGTTTTCTTAATGTTTTGTGTGGAAGAGCAGCTGATGTTCTTAATTAACTAATAAGGATCCTAATAAAACCATAAAATCTGAGTTCAGCCACTGAACTGAATCTTTGCTGTATTTTATAAACATTCATATGTTTGTTTTTAATGTAAAATCTTAATCTGAACTAAAGCTGTCAGATAAATGTAGAGGAGAAAATACAAACAGTGATTCTGGCGCCCCCCTGTGGACAGAAGTGAGTGTTTCATCTTGTTTCATTGTTAACACAACTTAATTTTATTGGAGAAATGTTGTGATATACTTATTTATACTTATTTAAGTTTAATTAACTGATTGGAATCAGTGAAAATTAACTTATTTTACTAAAGTCATCTTAACAAATACTTTAATCAAATATGTTTTCATGCTTGAATTCTTTGAGTTATTAAACTTAAACAGTTTAAGGTGATCTGCTCATATAAAATATATAAAACAGTCTTCAGAGTTTCATAACCAGTTAAAAACTCCCTGTAGTACATTTAAGTACCTCAAACATGAGTAATTGTATTCTTCCACAACTACAGCGACATTAAAGAAGCAGCCAGAAATGTTTTCTATATTTCTATATTTTAGACTATTAATGCTGCACCTCAAACTTACAGAACTAGAAGTTTGTAAAACACTGAAATATCTCATGTAGAAACCTTTATTTATACGCCAGTTTAAAGGAATTTATATGGAATAAAACACAACAGTGCTAATATCCTTTTAGTTCTGCCAAGCTTCTAGTTTTTTACCCTAAAATAACACTTATTATACAGTGTAGTAACTTTACAGTGTAGTAACTTTACAGTGTAGTAACTTTACAAGGTAGTAACTTACAGTGTAGTAACTTTACAGTGTAGTAACTTACAGTGTAGTGACTTTACAGTGTAGTAACTCTCTCTGTGTGGTTTGACTTTGAGATAAAGCGATGAGGACGTTGCAGAATAAAGGTCACTAGTACACATGTGTGTTTGTGGTTTAAGACAGTGAAACTCCATCTAGCTGCACAAGTTGTACACAAATATAAAAGTTAAAGAACATGTTTCACTCTGTTTGATTGGATCAAACTGTTGTTCTCATCAGGTCTCTGAACTGCAGATTTAATCCCATCACAGTGATAGTTGAACTTCTTTTCAAGCTTTGAGAAAGAAAATTATACAAGAATCCTCAAATCTGCATTTTAGACTGACAGTAAATTATAATTCCACATTAATTATTATTAATTTATCTCTTGCCACCATGAGTTTATCCTGTTTTTATGGGATTTGCTGACAGTGAAAAAAAATGTAAAATATCACCCGTTGTATCCGACTTCATTCAAACATCTTTTATTGTGAAATACAAGCAGTTAACTTCCTCTCACAGGCACTCAAGTTCTAGAGGTAGCATCGTATTATCTTTATTATTAACTTTTTAATTTATCATTTATTAGCTACAACTAATGAAGTCCAATACAATAAATCTTCATTTCATTAAGGTTGTAATGTTCAGGTTTTTTGGAGTTGTTCTGCAGACAAGTTCTGCAAGTAAATATGAAATAAAATATTTAAATTCTTCAGTTAAAAGAGCTGCAATGTTTAAAACAAACATAACATGTAAAATACTGTCTAAAATAAACTTCATTATTATTATTATATTATAGTTTCTGTTATTTCATACTCTCATTGATGTAAATGCAGTGGACAAAATAACGGAAACACCAGCCAATGTAACAAAATACAATTTAACCGCATCCAAAATGATCATAAAACGACCTAAAATTACTTTAATGAAAATGAATTATTTGACTTTTATTTTTTAGTTTGGACCTAATATTTAAGACCAGGTCCGTTCAGGCGTTTCTCTCCGACGGAGGAACGAACTCCAGACCAAGATGAGCGAATATCTCCTCCTCTGACGTTGCCCTCAGATATTTACTCTGTGAGACCAAAGAGAGAGAAACTCTAATTCTGCACGAAGAAAAGGGACAGAAGAAGAAAAAAAAGGTGTTATAAGTGTGTACCTGTTTGTTATCGTACAGAGCGTGGCTGCTCAGAGACATGGACTTCTCGTGGCCCGCCCAGCGTCGCAGCTCTCTCTCAAACAGCTGTGGACAGTAATGAAGTCAGTTATTATTCCACAAGTATTAAAAGTATTTGGATATTATTTTACTACAAATCTTCATAGAAGCATTTGTTATGAACTCAAACTCTAAAAAAAAACCCCATCTAAAATCTATTAATAGTTTATATAATAGAGCCGAGTGTCTTAAACCTGCATTCTATGTAACAACCAGCAGGGGGCAGCTCCATTACCATTCAGTCTTATGGAGAAATGAGTCGACTTCTCAGTTGATTTATGAGCTCAGTAAACAGTTTCCTGATGAGTTTCTGTTCTCAGTCTC